ACTGAACCCTGTGTCTCTTTGGAGGCCTGTGCAGCCTCCTCCTAGCATGGCTCCTCCTCCCTCCCTCGCTCCCTCCCTCCCCTCCCCTTCCTTTCCCTCTCCCCCTCCTTTAAAACTAAAGCTACAGAGGGAGCTCCTCCCCGTCCCTCTCCATCCCCACCGGCCGCAAGGACTTATTGAGGAACATTGATTGTGACATTTATAACCTAGGAACAAAAATTGCACAACACAGTGTGATATTTCTGTTTTTGAAAAAATAATATAATAGATTTTTAAAAAGATTGTCAGAGTAGTGTAACAAGAGTACAATGGAGAGTACAAAAATAGTGTCAGTTTCCCAGCCACAGGAAGGGGTGGTCATTCAGATATATAATCCATCAACTGGAATCTAAAGCAGTCCAGTCCAAACCTATTCAATTTTAGATCTATATTTGTCTGTTGGAAACCTGAATAGTACAAATGCAATGACAGGTTGCTGTTCGGACAGAATACAAACAAATATTGCTAGTTGGCAAACGAGGTCATGCAAAATCAACTCATTTGAAGTGTGGTTCTGGAGAAGAGTTATAGGGATGCTGTGTGCTGCAAAGCAGACAAATAAGTGGGTCCTAGAACAAATCAGATCACGACTCAAATACATTAATAGCTAAAAAAGACAAGAAGCATGCTTGGTAAGGCAGAGTCAGTTGGAAAAGAGGAAGACCACATTCCAAATGGACAGTTGAGGAAGCCTGCAGGACGTATTACTATTACTGTGGCTTAGAGCTCTACTCAAGGTCACCACAAGGCAAGATCCACTTAAAGGCAGTTAACAATAAAAAACAACTAGGCAGGGAGAGATTGCCTTGTTTAAAGGCTGGTTTGAATAGATTTCACATCTTTGATGTCTTAGAAGCAAAAAATATGCTATTGTTTTGCTACACCTTTGCAGGTGGCCAATTCTGTCTCACACCAGAAGCGACTTGCAGTTTCTCAAGTTGCTCTTCACACAAAAAAGAAAACACATAGTGCTGAAAGTAAGATCTCCGTTGTCCATAATGTTCTGTTTGCTTTTTCCTAGGACGGCAGAGTGTTTATCTGGATGTGTGACGATGCCTCAGGAAACTCATGGTCACCAAAATTGTTACATAAATTCAATGACGTAGTCTGGCATGTTAGCTGGTCTATTACTGCTAATATTCTTGCAGTTTCTGGAGGAGACAACAAAGTGAGTGCCAAAGCAGTTTAAATGGTGCCTTTATCTTCTAAAGTCAGGACGCATTTGCGCATTGGTTCTTTGCCTTGTGAGGTCAGAGTTTTGAATCAAGTCAAGTTCAGGATCTGATTTGTACTTTGAAACCAATATCAGTTCAATAGAAGATGTAACCAATGATTTGTTTAACTCAGCCTTGCAGAGAGGAGGAAAGAAATGAGACTCGGGCATAAGATTTGTCCTTGATTTCAGTAAAATTTGGTTTATTATACTATAACTGAGTCTGAATAGGCCCATTCTATTTTTCAGTTTTGGTATAGTGAGGCATAGAAATAAATCTTTACTCATTCTCCCTATCCTCTCATAGTTTGATAAACTCTACACCATTTAATATTCCTTTTTTTTTTCAAACTACAAATTGGCCCCATATATTGATAATAGGATCCCCTCACTGTCTTTACTTTTTATTTCTCCCAAAGGAAAACAGCTTTGCCTAATTTCTTGAGTTAAGATTGTATGGAATACAAGAGTCCAAATATACTATTTGGCAGAATACTTTAGTACCATTGGATCTGCCAATTAATAGATTACCTTTTTAAACATATCCTTTATTAACCCTGTAAATTTGCTTTGTTAAATTGGAACTAGGCAAATGTTACTAATTGTGATTCTCTGCAGCTAGCTTGAATGGGAGTTTTTTGAAGTATCGTTTAGATCCATAATAAAAATACTGTCTTCTTCCAGTATAAAATAGCAGGTAAATGTGATTTTCAGAAATGTTGTCAAGGAGTTGAAATGAGGACAAAATTAATCTTGCTGACCTTCTCAATTGAAAAATCCATGCAGAGTTTAACATGCTAATTTTGATTATTTTAGGTAACTTTATGGAAAGAATCGGTAGATGGACAATGGGCTTGTATCAGCGATGTGAACAAGGGCCAAGGAGCAGTATCTGCCATTACGGAAGGGCAGCAGAATGAACAGTGACAGATTGAATGAACAACGATCAAGAATTTTCAGTCCAAGGAAATCGACATGATTTTTACTATCTTTTTTTATTAAACCAGATTTCCTCAGTCTGGGACTCAGAAAAATAAAACTCCAAGAACATTCTATAGTTGCTTTTATTCCAACTATATACCTTAACATTTCACTTTAATTGACACTTTGTAAAATTTAAAGCAAACTGTACATGGCGAGATAGCCAATATGTTGGTTTTTTGCTGTATAATTCTTCTTTTAGAATACAGGTTAATTCCTTGATCATTTTACTGGAGAGCTTTGTTGAGCTTTGAATTGACTCCTGCCTTCCACGAGAAGGAGAGAAAGTTAGGTTTCTGTGGCTTAAAAGTTCTCTTTCAGAATGATATGTCTACTTTCTAGTTTTCTCATACAGAAACCTTTTTGTAATATTTTCTCTTTCAACAAGAAAGGAAGAAGCTATCAAATATGTAGTAGACAGTTCGACCTTAGGAGAGAAGGCTGCCGTTTATATATGGTGTAGGAGCCAAGAATGCAAAGTAACCTTTAACCTACAGTTTGCTTTCATGTGTATGATGAAAATATTTATAAATTTGACTTCCAAAATAATGCAAACCTAATAAACTTTAACCCATTTTGTGTACTTTGGTGTCCTTTCAGTTTAAAACGAATTGAATAAACTTCAGGCACAGGGCGTCCTTTCTAAATGGTTTGGGCATGGCATAAAAGTACCTGTAATCCTTTTTAATCTACCTGTATGCTTAACTAACATGTGTTCCACCTGGTCAAGAAATTGGATAGAGTTGTTTCAGCACTTAGCAGAGAAAAGAAATAGCAAGATGGTGCAGTGGATTAAATCACTGAGCTGCTGAACTTGCTGAACAAAAGATTGGTGGTTCGAATCCGGGGAGTGCAGGGATCTCCTGCTGTTAGCCCCAGCTTCTGCCAACCTAGCAGTTCAAAAAACATGCCAATGTGTGTAGATCAATAGGTACTACTTAGGCGGGAAGGTAACGGCACTCCATGCAGTCATGCTGGGCACATGACCTTGGAGGAGTCTACAGACAACGGCGGCTCTTCGGCTTAGAAATGGAGATGAGCACCACCCCCCAGAGTTGGACACCAGTAGACGTAATGTAAAGGGGAAACCTTTACCTTTATTGTGTTACCTTTGTACCAGGAAAGGACGGGACAGTGCGGAGTAGCGGTAGGATGAATAAAATTCAGAAGCAGGACAGGTGTCCCCCAGAAATCTATTGCTGTACTCTACCCTTCCCAAGCCATAACTAGTAAAGTATGTAGTTTATTGCTTATAAATTAATTTGAAGATGGAATCACAGAGTTGTAAGAAGAGTACAAGGGTCCTCTGGTCCAACTCCCTGACATACAGGAAAAGCATGATCAAAGCACTCCCAAGAGAGGGCCATCCAGCCTCTGTTTAAAAGCCTCTAAAGAAGGAGCTTCTACCACACTCAGAGGCAGTGAGTTCCACTGTTCAACAGCGTTTGCAGTCAGAAAGTTCTTCCTAATGTTCCGGTGGAATCTTTTCCTGTAATTTGAATCTATTGCTCTGTGTCCTAGCCTCCAAAGCAGCAGAAAACAATCTTGCCCCCCCCCCCCCAATGTGACACCTTTGATCATTTTGGCATGTATGGTACACACCTATTAATATTTCCATGCCTTCAACACAGGAGATTTACTTCCTGGGAATGTTTTCAATCTTAGGTAACTGCAGAGTTGCATGTTGATTTATGATGACCCCATTAATGCTGGGTGTTTGTGTTGTGCTTGAAACATTTCACGTCATGAGGAGAGGCAGGTAACCATTATTATTATTATTATTATTATTATTATTGAGCCCCCGGTGGCACAGTGGGTCACAGGTTTGAATCCGGGGAGAGCACAGATGAGCTCCCTCTATCAGCTCCAGCTCCCCATGTGGGGACATGAGAGAAGCCTCCCACAAGGATGGTAAAAACATCAAAACATCTTGGCGTTCCCTGTCCTTGCAGACAGCCAATTCTCTCACACCAGAAGCGACTTGCAGTTTCTCAAGTCGCTCCTGACACGACCAAATATTATAATAATAATAATAATAATAATAATAATAATAATTATTATTATTATTATGTTATTTTAAATATATATAACTTCTCTTTATACATTCGGTACCTAGGATGTCTGTAAACTATATTAAATATATAAACCTACATGAAAGCTAGTAACCATTAACAGTAAAAATAAAGCCAGGAGCAAGACCATTATTTTGGTGCATTTAAGAACTGACTAAACAAAGACCTAAATTTTCGATCTCAAGTTTTCAATCTATAGAGACTGCCATAGTTGTTTGTATTGGAGCATGCAAGGAATCAGTTAATGTGTGTGTGTGAACTGTAAAATAAGATGCATGAAGCTGATTTGTCAGGCTATGCTTGGGACTTTTGGATACTGTCACATTGTTCAAGCTTGAGCTATGCAGATATTCAGAGAGAAGCTAACAGAAGAAAGAGAGAGACAGAGTTTGGCGTATTCTCTTGCTTAATTAGCTGCTAAAGGAATTTATCCACATGGACAAAGAAAGACAAATTTAAATCTCTCATAAAGGAAATTAGGTGAGTTGATGCAATTGATCCCATTGTACATATGTTGTCCTGAACTACAAATATTAAACGACTTGTTCTTTACTGTTCACCTGCGTGGCATATTTTCTTTCTCTGGCAAGGCAGTGTGTGGGCTGATCAAACATGAGCTACACATGGTTTATTTTACATTACGCCAGTTTTTTGCTGCTGTAAGGAATCTCTCTTTCTCTACCCAAAGGCAAGAGACATCTCAAGTCTGTCAGAAATTAGCCGTTGCTTCTTTACCCCAACATACATCGTGAGATGTAACTTGAAACTCCAAAGCCCATCCACCAGCACTTCATTCACAACTCAATCTGCAGACACTGTAGTTACAGCATTGGCTTAATTTGAAATCTTTTCAGTTTCTTCTTCCCATCCTATGCTTTTTAGACCATCTCCGTTGATGTAAAGCTCGAGAGAAGTTGAGGTTATTTAGAATTTTGGTTCATGTTAACAAAGGTATTATCCAAAAGCTGATTTTTCAAAAACCAAATGAACACGACTGTTAGTTGGTTGATGGAGATTCAACAAAAAAATAAGCTAAATGGACCTTCCTGCAAAGGAAATTAGAAATCCCAGCCACAGAAAGTTGTATCATGGGACTAGCATTACTTGTCCCTATCAAGGAACTGAACAGTTTTCCTATATAATGTTGAAATACATGTTTGCTTGAATACAAACAGAACAGTCATAACATTCCTGATTCAATAAGGACATAATACTTGAGATTGAGACAAACTGAAAGAAGCGGCTAGGAAATTAATTTTGTAGAAACCTCTTGGGAACCATGGAATTGCTGGATTGATTTATCTTGGTTGGTAATCACTCCTAACAACACAAAAATGACCCTCACTTCATGACCCACCTTTCCTATAATACTTCCAGATCAAATAATTGTATAAGCAGTCGAGCAAAAATGGATGCTTTCAGCTGATAAATATTGACCCTTTGTCCATGTAACCCAGACCAATATGAGTTTTTAAAAATGTAACAGCACAATTATCACAAAAGGTCAGGCTTGTCTGTTAGTTTTTTGTCCATAATTTCCATCATCAGCCCAGAATCCGATCTGCCTTGCCATATGCTTGTTTTTTTGAGGTCAGAGCCTAGTAGGAAAGTCCTACAAATGCTAGCAAAAGGTACAAACATACCTCCATAGCTGGAAAGCTTTTCATGGGCTAGGGAAGAAGGGCTCTGGGGAGGTGCTTTCTCCATTTTCAAGCTGAGGAGGCTGCTTTGCCACCTGGTTGTGTGGACGGCAAGATTGCTTGGAGCATATCTTTGCCTTTTCCTGTCAAAGCGGTACCTATTTATCTACTCACATTTGCATGTTTTCAAACTGCTAGGTAGGCAGGAGCTGGAATTGACAGATGGGAGCTCACCCGTCTCGCGGATTCGAACTGCCAACCTTCAAGTTGGCAGTTCAGCCAACCTTCAGGTCAGGAGTTCAGCAGCACAAAGGTTTAACCCATTGTGCCACCCATTGAGTGTGTTACACTAGTACAAATTGGATGTCATCAAAGCATGTGTTAAAGGTAAAGGTTTCCCCTGACATGAAGTCTAGTTGTGTCCAACTCTAGGGGGTGGTGCTCATCTCCATTTCTAAGCCGAAGAACCGGCATTGTTCATAGACACCTCCAAAGCCATGTGGCCATTATGACTGCATGGAGCGCCGTTACCTTCATGCCAAGATGTAACTATTGATCTACTCACATTTGCACGTTTTCAAACTGCTATGTCGGCAGAAGCTGGGCCTAACAGTGGGAGCTCACCCCACTCCCTGGATTCGAACCACCAACCTTTCAGTCAACAAGTTCCGCAGCTCAGCGGTTTAACCTGCTGTGCTACCAGGAGGCCTAAGCATGTGTTACAATGCCCAAATTTGCTCCTAGTTGCCCTTCTGCCTTTTCATCCCATCATTATAGTGCTTAGTAGCAATGGACAGTGACAGGAAAGAAAATAAAACAATCTTATTAAAATTCTAAGCAAGAACTTTTCTCAACAAATTTTCCTCTCAAAATAAAAGCTTGGTGGGGTTTTTTTCTTAATGATCATCAACAAGTACTTCACATTTAGGAAGGATAGCAACAAGCACACAGCATAGAGGGATTAATCTGTGTTACCTTTCCATCCAACAAGATACTCTAGTAAAAAGGAAAACCCTTTCAACCATCAAAAGTCCCATTACACCCTCTATTACATTCTTTAAACTGATGCATGATTTTTTTAAAAAAACCTTTTACGTCATTAGAATATGTTTCCAAGGAGTGCACAATACCACTTGGACTGTGAAGCATTACGTTTACAAAGCAAACACTCCCATCTACTATATAGATAGAGCTTGCTGCACCAGCTTTACCAACTTGCACAGAAAATACTGGGTAAGAAACCTTTCCAGATTTATTTCCATTTATTTCCCCACTCCTGATCTTTCTTAGCTTTGCTTCTCCGCTTAACATAATAAGCAGATACTTATGTGTATGAATATATATGAGAGTTACATTAAGTACTTGCCAGAGTTTGAGACTGAAGTGTATTCAGAAGCAACTCAAAATTAAATTATTTATTTTACAGGATGTTTCTCAGCCTATTGAACACAGAAGACATCTAGGGGTGTGTCTACACTGTGGCATTAATACAGTTTAATATCACTTGAACTACTCTGGCTCAATGCTGTAGAACCCTGGAAGTTGTAGTTTTAAGATATTTAGCCTTCTCTGGTACTTCACCAAACTACAAATCCCAAGATTTCATAGTATTGAGCCAGGGTAGTTAAGGTGGCATTAAATCTACTATGCAGATGTGCCCCAAATGAGATGGAAGCTATCTTAATAATTACTGCAAATGTTCTCTCTCCAAGCCCCATGTTCTCCTCCAAGTATAATGTGCATTTTGTATTTATTAGCTTTGTACAATTGACCCTCATTTGTATTACGGTAATAGGATTATTCAGTTGCTTCTGAATACAAGCATGATTTTTGCTGATGTATCAACTCACTATGACAAACACAGTAATGGTGTAACAGAATTCCTATGGATTCTGTCATTGTTAAACCCAGTTTGCCAAAATAATTAGTGCAAGATACAAAGTATTAAAAGATTTTAGAAAACACTATGGTTTTAACGTATACTACATTGTGTGTGTTACAGGCTAATAGTCTATCTCTGAGGCATTTTGGAAGATAATGATGTTTATCCGAAGCATAATAGTAGGAACACTCCTTGTCTGTTCACTTTGGATAGAGACCACTGTTGCTGGTTCCAGCTTTTTGAGTCCAGAACAACCAAAGACGCAGGTATCTTCTCTTCACTGGAATGATCGAAAGGTTTTTACTCTAGACAGATAATAATTTGTCATAGAACTTACATTTGTTTCTTTTTTTCCTAGCAGCGAAAAGTCTACCAGAAATCTGTAACAAAATTCCATCGCCGAGATGCAGAAGTGGCATTGGATGTCCATGGAAATGAGGTTAAGGAAAACAGGAATGAAATGGAAATAAAGGTAACTTTTTGTGCATCCCTTTCCCACTTTTAGCTATCTATGTATCTGAAATTAAATGCCATGAACAATTTAAGCTGAGGAGCACTGAATATGAGTTCCTTGATTAAAGAGTATTTTAGACAAGAACTTAGTTAACAGATGATAGATATTTACCATAATGTGAGAATGTCTGCATTAAAAAAAACTAAAACTAGGAAATTACAATTTTGGAAATAGTGAGAAAATTGTGATGAGGGGTGCATGTACACTGCAGAAGTAATAGTTTGATACCACGTCACCTGTCATGGCTTAATGCTATGGAATCTAGAGACTTGTAGTTTTACAAGTTCTTTAGCCTTCTCTGCCAGAGTTCAGATGCCTTACCAAACTACAAATCCATAACAAGAGTCCATAGCATTGAGACAAGGAATTGCAATGGCATCAAACAGCATTTATTCTATAATTAAGATATACCCTTTGTAGCAACTATTAATATGAAACATTTACATAGACATACTCATTTCTAACTGCTTTGTAGTCACAATTGCTTCTTCGTCAGAATTTTTACATTACTATCATGATCCTAACTCCCTTCTAAGCCTACTTTACCAAGCACCAGCTACATGCAGAGAAGTAAGTTTCTTTTGTCAGTTGAATGATGTTTCCATCAGGTTTGAGAGGTCATGCCAGGAAACATTACTTATTTAACTATACTTGGCTAAGTACGTTATACAATATTCAGGTCAAATGTTTTCTTTTAGTTGTGGATTTAACAATGTGCATGCAAGAGTTCCTTGAGACTTGGGAATCACTTCAATGGTTCCTTCAGGGTAGAAAGGTTAGAAAGGTAATTCAAGAGCTAGAGCAAGAACCCCCAAGGAAAGATTATAAGCTTTCTTTGCCTTATAAGAAAGTCAAGTAAGGGAAGACATGACAAAAATGTGAAAATTATATATGATGTGGAGAAAGTAGATGAAGAGGCCCCTGGATCTTCTCAAAGGGTGGCTGGAGATTTAGAATAAGAAAAGACAGTTCACAGACTTTATGGTTGAAGTGTGGAATCAATTGTCACAGACGTACTGTAGTTATGACTGCCAATTTGGATGACTTTAAAATTAAAATTGAAGTTTGGGTGGCTATATATCGCCTTAAACATTGCAAGCAGTATGGTTTCATGTAATGTGCCCAAAGATCCCAAAGATCCCAACTAATCTTGAAAGCTTAGCAGGCTCAGCTCCCCTTAGTACTTGAATGAGGAACAACCAATGAATACCATGTGCTGTAGGCTATATTTCAGAGGAACAAGATGGGAAAACCACCTCTGAGTATTCCTTGTTGAAGAAAGCCCTGTGAAATGAATGGGATTACCATAAACTGATAGGCAGCTTATGCTCTTGCTTGTGGGTTTTCCATCAGTAACTGATTGGCAGCTGGATGGATGAATGCTGATGTAGAGAAGCCTCTGGTCTGCTCCACTATGGCTCATATGGGTTGAGTATCCCTTATCCGAAATGAATAGGACCAGAGGTGTTTTGGATTTCAGATTTTTGTAAATTTGCGAGTATTTTCATTTGCCTATATCTACATAACAGGATATTTTGGAGGTGGGATCCAAGTCTAAACATGAAATCCATTTCTTTTTCATATAGTTTGAAGGGGATTTTACACACAATATTTTAAATAATTGTGTGCATGAAGCCAAGATTTTGTACATTGAGCCACTAGAAAACAAAGATTTCACTATTTCAGTCACTCATGTAGATAATTTTGGAGTATTTTGGAATTTCAGATAATCTGTCCTATCTCTCAAAAGGAACTCACGGCGATTTCCAACATATATGGCAAACATTCAATGCCAACAGGAAAAAACATACAAATTACATCAAAACCGATCACAACTAACAATATATAAGTGACTTAACTTTAAACTTATTATTAGACAAAATAACCAACGATCTAACCTTAACGAATAAGATATGTTCAACCTGTGTTATGGTCATCAGTATACTCTCAAAAAATCAAAAAGAAATGCAGCTGATTATTAATGTTTATTTCTGGGCATATGTGATAAAAACTGAGGTTTGAATACATATTTCCCCATTTCTAATTCTTTAATTAGTTTCTCAGATGGAGCACCCACTACTATTAAACCAATCTTGACATTTTGGTAATTCTCAATTCTAATTTCCCAGTAGCACTGTTCTTTAAAATTAAATGAAACCAGTCAACAAAGTTCACAAATAATCTTCATGTTCTGCCATATTTCTTAGTTTACCGTTCCCTTTGAAATCGGCATGAAAATCTCAGAAGCTCAGTACAAAGAGTGTGAGCAAATGCTGGAGAAATTTCTGGAAGACATACTGGCGGAGGACAATAAAGGTAAAATGTTCTAAACCAGGGCTCTTAAGAATTTAAGAAGTTCAATCCATAGGATATTGTCAGATAAAGAAATGACAACTTATGCTTTACTTAACACATTTTGAACATACTACCCTGGAGCAGTGAGATTAAATATCCATGCAATAGAGATACTATAGCAGCAATAAAGCAATGACTGAAACTGCAAAGGGAAATTTCTCTTGATGCAGGCAACAACCACAACCACAAGTTGCTTTTTGTACAACTTGTGGCATCCTTTATACTTTTACCCATCAGAGATTTAAGCCTGGTGTATCTTCACACATGAATAATCCAGAGTCAAACAGGATATACTTTTCAGTATGCTTTAATTGAATTTATTATATTGGCTTGTTCCTGCTTCCTACTTGTTTTTTATGATATACAGTAGGCTGCATATTACCCAAGCAATCTGTTACAAGACTTTTCGTATATTACATTTTTTTGCATAACCTGGAACCCAATAAATGAATTCTTGGGCTTCCAGCCAAAGCATACCATATGATTTCTCTGGAGGATTTATAAAAAATTCCTAGAGAAGTAGTCTTTCTAGACTTCAAGCATGATTCTTGGCCTCTAGTGCAATTTGTGGTGCACACTGACCATATAAATCATCTCCTCCAGAGTAATTCCATGAAATTTAAAGCTCTTCATATTTAAATGAAACCCGATTTAATGTGTCCAAGTAATAAGTGGACCTATGATACTCCTATTTTTGTTATTTTGTCTATTATTTTGGATTTCTAAAAATTTCCTACCCAGATAACCTGTTGTTGGGCAACAAAGAAGCACAGTCAAGTAAATAATTATTACATCATCATCATCATTATATTCTGCTTTTTCTCTGAAAGAGGCTCAAAGCTCTAAAGAGTGGTTAAAAGAATACAATACAATTTAAAACTTAAAAGACTATAAACATTAAAATAGAATAACTAAAACCATTAAAACAATTTTAAATACATTTAAAATCTGACTAGATAGCTATAATTTTAAATACAAAAGGTACTAGACTGTACTACCTAGAGGCTATTCCATTGGTTTCAGCATTTCCAAATAATATTCTTTGGACAGAACTGTAAATTTGAAAATATTAGGGCAATACGTTGAGTAAAACTAGAAGAACACCATACTTTGCACTTGCAGAGATCATGTACTTTCAAACCTGTGCCGTAAGTAGATGATTTTTTTAATGCTCTCTATTAATATTTTGAGTGCTTGCCATCTTGTTTAACTTGGGCGAAACATGCAAATATCCCATTTTACTGATATGATTTTCAAAGTTATCTGACTAAGTCTTAAGATAATTGCAAATCTACCTAAACTGTTCCTTGTAATCAAAATATGATCAAAATTTGTTTGCAATTCGGTTTGGAGATATGATCTCCAAACTATATTACAGCCACATCTGGAATACTATGTATTATTCTGATAATTTTACTTCGCCTCTGAACCAACAAGCCAAAAACCAAAAGATGGAAGACTGTTAGCAGTCTAAATGATGTCAAGATATTTTGACCATTCTCTAAGAAAAATTAAGTTAGCAAGCTTAAAGCAGAGGAAGCACTACGTACAACATGGAAAAAATTAAGAGGAAATTTTCCAACCTTTCCCAAATTGTCTAATGACTATAAAGATGTATTTTAAACAACAATAACATTATCCTTTCAGGAAACCAATCACCAGATTGAGGAAAGAAGAAGGAAATCAAGATAGCACAATCGGAATAGCAACTTTACTTTCAAAATAAGTTTTATGCTTTGAAATCAACTGCTTGAAATCTTCTTGATCCCATCAAATACCAATAAATATATTTACTTTTAAATGCAAAAAAGGTATATAAGGAAATTTATTATTGTTATTATGGTATAAACCTACAGAGCTGCTTAGGAATCAAAATTAAAATAATAAATGCGGTAGGGAATGCTTATTTGGGCAAAAAAGGACATGCAATACCAGAATGCATGTAAGCAGTTTTCACTTTGGCAAAACCACTTCTGAATATTCCTTGTCTAAGAAAACTCCATAAAATTTATGGGGTTGCCATAAGTCAACTAGGGGAAAAATGCACAGGTGCATGTGCATCTGTAGCCTTTCTCACACTTGTGTTGCAGATGTTGGAGATCAGTTTTGTGCCTGATCATCACACAAATTCTAAACGGTGATGTGATGCAATGATATAACGGGCATCACTGAATATTAGGAAGAACATCCTGACAGTATGAACAGTGGCACATACTCCCCCACAGTGTGCAGCCTCTTTCTCTGAAGGTTTTTAAAGAGGCTGGATGGCTATCTGTCGAGAGTGCTTTGCTTTGCTTTTGTGTACCTGCATGGTAGAATGGGGCTAGACAGGAAGGCTGAGACAGGGAATGACAGCCATGTTTCAACATTTGAAAGGATGTCATAGGTAAGAGCCATTCAGAAGTGGAATGTTGGAGTATGTTGGAGTTTTCTCCTTTGAAGTTTTTTCAACAAGTCATCTGTCAGGAGTGTTTTGATTGTGTGTCCCTGCATGTCATGGGCTCGGGTTGGATGGCCTTTGGGGTCTCATCCAACTCTAGGATTCTAAATTAGCACAGAAATTAATATGCAATAAGCATACTCCATAGTAAAGATCTTTGTAAACCAGTGGTTCCCAACCTGCGAAAGTATGGTCCACAGCCTCGCCATTACTACACTGTTGCTTCAAAACCACGCGGCAACAAGAGCAACTGGTCTTGCGAACTTGTCTTAAAATGCCGAGGCAATGGGAATGCTGAGAGGGGACAGGCTGACTACCTATGAAAGATTACTAGTACCACATCAGCTCTAGATTATTAAATATGGTTTTCTGTGGGCGAGCAGAGGGCGACTAATAGATGGCATATGTTCTGTATCAGAAACTAGAGCTGATGTGTTCTATCCCATGCAATTTTCTGAATCCCAACTAAACAAACTAAATCTAAAGTTAAGCAAAACCTAATTTGGAACCCTTTTGGTACTAATGTTAGAGAGTAGTCCCTGGTCAAAGTGGTCCCTGTTAAAAAAAAGGTTGGGAACCACTGTTGTAAATGGAAGATCTAGGGGACTTGCCAATTATTACAAAAAAATAAAAATAAAATCCAAAGCTTCTGATTAGTTATGTTTAGAATCACAGGAAACTACAGAAAACTACAGAAAAACAAAATTTTGCTACAAGTCAGCAGATTCTTCAGTTCAGCTTCAGGCTCTTTTGCTCTAAGGGTGCTTTAGGAGACAAAAGTGACACTTCTCTGACTTGAAGTAAGGAAACATGTTTTTATTGTCCTACCTGCATACAAATACTCATCTTACATCTGTATGGAATAATGATTTAAAAGGCTATTGACAAGCGGGATATTCTCTTACATGGTCATAACATCTTGAATAACGTGAACAGGAACATCTAAAAAAAAACCTCCTCCATATAACATGAAATCATATTGTTTGCTTGAATTGAAAAGAAAGGCAACAATTACTATCTTTCAATGTTAATGTCCACAAGATTTTAATTTCTTGCCTTAGTGATGACATTCATTTACAAATTGAACATGAGAATTGATATAAAAATACATTTATGTACAAATGAGCTCTTTAAAGTTCAAATAATACATAACATTATAGAAAATCTAAATTATTTTTCTTCATTAAAAAGGAAGTTATTAAAGAGATTAAAAACAGCCTAATTTAAATAAAAATAAAAAATTAGCCTGTCTTCTGCACCACTCCCAACAGTTAGTAATTAAAAGGTCAAACCATATTTCAGGAGTCAAATCAATAGTAAGGCACCTTAAACAGCAGGCAACCAATAACACAGTGACAGGAGGATGCAAAGAAATCCAGGAAATGTAGACATGTTTAAATGGTTATGCTTCAATTACACACTTATAACTCATTTCCTCTTTCTGTAGAATCATAATATTCAAGCTCGTCAAAATTAAAATATAAACGCCAAATCTCTATTTACATCAATCACATGGAGGAACCAACATAACTAGAGAGGGATTTCCTTCTCACCTTGCACTTTCCTACAAGTTATACATTTTGTTTGTATTTTGTCTTAGTATGGCTAACATGATGGACACCGGCACCTCCTTAAGACGAGCAATCTCTTTCACTGTGTGCAAAGCTACTCCTGGGTGTGCAAACTGGCACACACTTTTGGGCACCTGAGGGAAAAAAAATACAATACAATCATTAAGAAGAGCATGTTTATATATATATATATTCTGCAGGATATGACTAGAAGTTAAATTTAAGAACTTCTTGTCTTGCTGAGAAATTTGAAGACAATATCTTCATGCTGCTATGAATGTAGCTGCGATGGGTCTCTGATCAGAAATCCATCTAGCACAAGATGGCAACAATAGAGACAATATACAAGAAAACAGACAACTACTACCGATCCATTCATTTTTTCCTGCTTTACTCCCAGTTTTGGATATTCAGCAGACCAAGGAAAATTTGATAACAATTCCTCCATCATCAATTATGAATATATTTTAAAAAGAATGCAACAATAACTTTGAGGAGTCAGACTTGTATACTGGAGGATTTACTATGAAGATCTATTCTAGCCAAAGATAAGTACGGGATTGTTGCTGCATAGGTGAGGCAAGGCATCACGTGTTCATTAGATTACTGGTAGACCTTTTCAGTCAACTCCCTTGTTCCTCCTTCAGTTTGTTCTCCAACACAGGAAAGTGAGAAAAGAATCCTCAAAAATAATAACACAAACAAAACTATTGCCACCTTGGGTGGGGAAAGTAGCAACTCAGAAAGTTAAGCTGTAAAAAACCTGTTTGAAGGAAGCTCTTCCTGAAGTGAAGCAGACTTCCTTTAGTGGAGCATTAGTAGAAAAGGCTACCAAGGCCCACTTGAACTTGCAGTCATGTTTATGGTTTGGGAAGTCCTAGGCACCAGGACTGTGGCGCAGCTGGCTAAGTGTCAGCTGCATTAAGATCACTTCTGAGCAAAAGGTCATGAGTTCGAAGCCAGC